GGGTAATAAAATGTCTGCGAGAAAACAACTAAGCTCAGAGAGCACCACAGTATAACCCTGATATTCTCTTCTATCGGAATCCATAAACACAATGTGAGAAGCTCCGTCTACTGCTTACATTTCCTCAAGAAAGAAGGCAATGAAGAGGTAAACAGATTTAAACACACCCATCCTCACCCCATAATTATTAGCCAGAAAAATAGAAACCAGCATCAGACAACTAAAAATGATCAACCACCATTCAAAAAGGATGAACCACCAGTGCTCTTCATTCCCCTACACTGATGGCGTTACCTAGTCTGGTAATAAAATGTTTGCAAGAAGGGGAATAACCTCGGAAATCACCCCAGAAGCCAGCAGTTCAACTCTGAGCTACAAATATTCTCCATTGTGGTAAGTATTCCAACCTCATCCCAAAGCAGCTTCAAAAAAATCTGCTCGTTATCTGGAGAGAGAAGGAAGAAGGTTAACAGCAACTGAAACAGAGATAACTCACTTAGCAACCGCCTGCTTAAAAGGTAAATAAAAAGGTTCCCCTCGCATATGTGCTAGTTGTTCCTGACTCTAGGAGGCAGTGCTCATCTCCATTTCAAAGCAGAAGAGCCAGTGCTGTCTGAAGACATCTCCGTGGTCATGTGGCCGGCATGACTAAATGTCAAAGGCGCACGGAACCTTCCCACCAAAGGTGGTTCCTATTTTTCTACTTGCATTTATGTGCTTTCGAACTGCTAGGTTGGCAGAAGCTGGGACAAGTAACGGGAGCTCCCTCCGTTATGTAGCACTAGGGATTCGAACCACCAAACTGCCAACCTTTCTAATCAGCAAGCTCAGCGTCTTAGCCACTGAGCCATCACGTCCCTCAACTGCCTGCTTAGGAATGGAAATGCTGGTCCCAATTGTGGTTGTAAGTCAAGGACTCTCCCAAGAATCACTGAATGATGTTAAAGGCACTGCAAGTCACTAGAAAACCGTACTTAACATTTCCCACTTGCTTAGGATGAAGCCAAGATAGTCCATCCTTTTGTGTCATCCTCTACTCTCTATAGCAGTCTTCTCAATCTTGGCGACTTTAAGACCTGTGGACTTCAACTCCCATAATTCCCCAGCCAGCTTTGCTGCTCCATATGGGGAAAAATGATCCGGAAGACCAAGCATAATTTCTTGGAAGGCCTATTTGGCAAAGATTGCATCTCAGTAAATGTGGGAGAAATGAAATACCCACCTCATTGCACAGTATGAAGAAGGCTCTCTTGGATAAAATATATTTATTTCTTCATACCCACATAAATAAATTGTGGAGTTCATTTGCTCAGGATTTCATGATGGGCACCATCTTGGGTAGCTGGAGAAGCAATCGAATAAATTCATGAAAGTTTAATGCTCTAAATGGCTACTAGATATGATGGCTTTATGTCACCACCTCCAGAGAGGAAATATCCTTCTCTGTTCTTATTACTGAGAGCCGGTTGCTTGGGAACATGAACGGAAGTCTCAGCTGCATTTGTGGGTTGATAATGGTCTTCCTGAAAGCATCCTGTTGCACTCAGGAGGTACAAAATGTAATCCTAGGTAGACTTAATAGACCAAAAAGAACTCAGATCTTACATTTGGGGTGGAAGGCCTGCATATTTCAACTTATATAGCTCAATCACAATTCTGTTTTAGGACAACCATACCGGAATCAGAATCATAGGGCCGTGGTGATTGCTGACTGCCGACAGTCGGCAGTTCGATCCTGACTGGCTCAAAGTTGACTCAGCCTTCCATCTTTCCGAGGTCAATAAATTGAGGAGCCAGATTGTTGGGGGCAATATGCTCACTCTATAAACTGCTTAGAAAGGGCTGTAAAGCATTATGAAGCGGTATATAAGTCTAAGGGTTATTGTTATTGAAAGGGACCTTGGAGATCTTCTAGTCCAGGGTGTCAAACTCAAGGCCTGGGAGCCAGATCCAGCCCAGGGGATGCTTAGATGTGGCCCATGGGGCCACCCTGAAAATAGCAAAGGACCGGCCCACAGTGCCTCTGCCAGTAAAAACAGAGTTTGTGAGGGGCACGCGTGGCCCTCCTGAACTCTGTTTTCACTGGCAGAGGGGTGCTGGAGGGCGTCGAGGCCAAAAACGGACCTCGGGAGCCCGTTTTTGCTGGCAGAGCACTTGGGCCACCACATCCCCCCACTTGCCACAAGTGACGTCATGCTGGTCACACCCACCCTTGCCCCTGAGATCAAACACAACCCTGATGTTGCCCTCAATGAAATTGAGTTTGACACCTCTCTTAGTCCAACCCCCAACCCATGTCAGGCCAAGTAATCCTATTACATAATTCAAGAAGAGTAAGTATGAGCTAGATAAAAATCCTTTTGGTGTTCTTATAATATTTTTAAAAAAGGGGTGTGTGTATTCACCAAATGGCGAGAATTCATACATTAAAATTTAACAGGAAATCTGGTCTAGAAAATCAAGAGAGAAGCCAGCAGGAAAGGTTACAAATCATGATCACATGATGTCTCGCTTAATAACTACAGCAAAAAAAATTAACTCACTTAATGACCATGTTGCTTAACAAGGAATTATCCAGTTAACGTTGTGATTGTATGTTGAGGGACTACCTGTACTGGATGGAAAACAACGTGGATTGTTTTATAGGCTCAGTCAAACAGACAAAATATAAAGAAAACAAGATAGGAAACCATGCTGATAATTCTACTCTGGGTCACATGACTTCAAAAGAGACAGGAAAGGGACTTAGAATGGAACAGTCAGCAACATTCTAAGTCATTGGCCAATTTTTTTCTCCATAAGGATACATGGAAAGAGTTCTTCAGGATTTTTTTTTCTCTGCAGTTCCTGGGTGGGTCCAGCTTTTTCAGACTCAAGACTCACGCCAATAGAAAAACCATTATAACAATAAAACTTAAATAAATACTTCTTCACAGTGCTTTATAGCTCTCTCTAAGCGAAAGGGACGCAGTGGCTCAGTGGCTAAGACGCTGACCTTGTCGATCAGGTCGGCAGTTCAGCGGTTCAAATCCCTAGGGCTGCGTAACAGAGTGGGCTCCCATTACTTGTCCCAGCTTCTGCCAATCTAGCAGTTTGAAATCATGTAAAAATGCAAGTAGAAAAAATAGGGACCACTTTGGTGGGAAAGTAACAGCGTTCCGTGCACCTTCGGCATTTAGTCATGCCAGCCACTGCCCACAGAGACGTCTTCGGACAGTGCTGACCCTTCGGCTTAGAAACGGAGATGAGCACTGCCCCCTAGAGTCAGGAAGGACTAGCACTCATGTTTAAGCAGTTTACAGAGTCAGCATATTGCCCCCAACAATCTGGGTCCTCATTTTACCCACCTCGGAAGGATGGAAGGCTGAGTCAACCCTGAGCCGGTGAGATTTGAACCGCTGAGCTGCTGATCTAGCAGTAGCCTGCAGTGCTGCATTTAACCACTGCGCCACCTTGGCTCAGCCTTCTGGTGATAACTGTGTCTCTTCTTCCAGAAGACTAAGATTGCTGTGCCTGAACGAGGTGGAGGAGGAAGGAAGAGAAGGAGGAGGACTGAGATGTCCAGACTCCTCTCCCATAACGGTTGAAAACTGGGCAGGGAGGTGCGGCACCTCATGGATGAATTAAATGGTGCAACGGGAGTGCTGATTTCACAGCTGGTCTCCAGCTCTGAAGACAACTAATGTGCGTGTGCAGGAGAGCAGAGGACGGAAAACTCTTGTTACAGGTTGAGCACCTTAGCCTGACTTCGCTCCGCCTTAGTAACCAGCAGCCCCTGATGGAAGCTCCGATGTGAGGCCATCCTTGGGTTCCTTCTGCTTTTTCAGAGTTATCTGCTGAAAGACAAACGGGGTGAAAGACGTGAGCCCCTTCACGTCATTTTTTTCAACACTGTGGAGCTAGAAACAATAAAACCTGTAAGGAGTAAGGAACTTGGGTTCCGATCCCTTTTTAAGTAATTACATTTATTTATCGAAGCTGTTAGATGGATTCTTAGTTGGGTTCTCCCTGGGCAATATTGTAGTAGATTACATTATCATTTTTTCATTTTTTACATTATCATTTTTTAGGGATGCGGTGGCCCAGTGGCTAAGATGCTGAGCTTGTCAATCAGAAAGGTCAGCAGTTGGAATCCCTAGCACCATGTAACAGAGTGAGCTCCCGTTACTTGTCCCAGCTTCTGCCAACCTTGCAGTTCGAAAGCACGTAAAAAATGCAAGTAGAAAAATAGGGACCACCTTTGGTAGGAAGGTAACAGTGTTCCATGTGCCTTTGACGGTTAGTCCTGCTGGCCACATGACCACGGAGACGTCTTCAGCGGCTTTGAAACGGAGATGAGCACCGCCCCCTAGAGTCGGGAACGACTAGCACATATATGCGAGGGAACCTTTACCTTTTACTTTACATTATAATTTATTACAGTTACATATATCCTTTTTCCAATAACATTTTGGTTTCTGTCTTGCAACACCCTTGCAAGGCAGGAAGACGACCAGTAGAATCCAAGATCATACCTTAGTTTCAAGCTCAAAAACGGTCCCCCCTATTTTTGCATCTGTTCGCAGAGTTAACTCAAATACTGACAATATACTAAAGCCATAAATTACCCGACGGGACAAGATTCACATAGCTTTCCAAGCCTCCCCTCCCCTCTAAACCCCCGAAGTTAGCACTCTCCAAGGGCTGGTCGCTTTCACAAGCGCAGCCGCCAGGTCTCCATCTGACTTGGCTAACCGTGGAGCGGGAACCCAGCCTGCTCGCATAAATCAGCCCAGCTCTATAACCCGGGAGACCCAGAAAGAAGCGCGAAGCGGCGGCGGCGGCTTTGAGCGGCCCCCGCTTCTCCTCCTCGCCTTCCTCCAGAATGGAAACGGCATCGCCCTTTTAAGAGCCCATGCGATAGGAGGGAGGGAGGGAGGGAGGGGGAGGAGGCCCCTTTCTTGGAACAGCCACGGAAAGGCGAGGAGGGGAGGGGAGATCGCGGGGAGGGGAGGGTCCGCCGGAGCCGTCTTCGCTCTTTGGAGGCAGCCCGGAGCCATCGGCGCGGCGCCCAGCCTCCCTCAGTCGGGGTGGCGTCCGCAGGCTCCGCGCTCAGTCTAGCTCGGGGGGCGCTCGACGGCGGCGCGATGGGGTTCCAGCGCTGCTGCGGGCGGCGGCCCCGATCCCCAGACCGCTTCCTCCTCCACCTCCAGCTCCTCTAACGGCAGGTGCCGCGGCGGGGGCTTCCCCCCCGAGCCATGTACGCCAAGGGCAAGGGCTCCAGCGTGCCCTCCGACGGACAAGCGCGCGAGAAGTAAGTGCTCCGCTCCCCGGACGAAACCCCCCCACCCCAGCCCTCAACCTCCCCTCCGCCGCCTCTTCCTCCCCGGGGGCGACGGGGACGTCTCGGCACCCCACCTCTCCCGCTTGCAAGCAACTCTCCGCTCTTCCTCGCTTAAACTTTGAAGCCGGAGTTGGGCGCGCGCGTGTCGCTCCAGCCGCGACCCCCTCCCCTGAAAAGCGCGCCCCCTCCTTCCCTCCCTCCCTCCCTCGGATTGGGCGCCGGTGGGCTCCCCCTTGGCGCGAGGGAGCCTGCCGGGGTGGGGGTCGTGTTGGGGGGAGAGTCAGGGCTCGGCGCTCCCGGGGAGCCCCGTCGAGGAGTGGGTGGGAAAGTTACGGGAGGGTCTTTCGGAATTTGGGGAGGGGGGAGGTCGCCCGAGAACGGAAGAGTTGCTCCTGGTTAAGAGGCGGAGAAGGGGGAGGTCGGAGGCGTCCTCCTTCCCCCGCACACGCAGCCTTCATCCCTGGGAGAGAGAGAGAGAGAGCGAGCGGTTGGACAGCCCCGGGCACTTTGCGCTTTCGCCCGACGTGCGGGGATGGAAGGCACCCGGCGGGCGGCCTTTGCTTGGAGACCAAGCGCAGCTCCCCCCCTCCCCCCCCCGAAACTGCACTCAGATGGGGTTGCATCTGAGTGCGGCTTCGCCTCCA